ATAGCTTGATTAAGAGTATTCGACCCTTCTCAAGCCTTGGGTTACACGAAATCCCTTCTAGGATAAGACAATCAAAGTTCTCTCTTGTTCTAGGCTAAGACACAAGAGAAACAAATAGAGCTTTTTGTGTTTTGTTTTTGTGTTTTGCACTAAAGATTAAGACAATCTTTAGTCTCGTGAATCTCTCTTTTCTCCTCTTCTTATCTTTCTTTGACACAAGAGAAACAAAGTTTATATATGGTTCAAAAGTTGTGACGTACGTTTGCAACCGTACGTTTAAATAATAACCATAAATTGAATAGTTGCAATGGTTAATTTAATAACCGTCGGTTTACACTTAAATTTATAACAATATGAACCGACCCTTTCTTACTATCCAAAAACGGATTGCTCAATTCCGTTGGATCAAATTCCCAATTCCCATAACCTGCAATGATGTCTCGTTGTGTGCTCACATAATCACCTTGTCGTAAAGCAGACTCCTATAGTAATAGCATTCATGAGTGTCTTTTCAATATAAAAAAAAAAAGTGGATTATAAAGTTCATTTTATATATATACATACTTTGATATAGGAGTGTTTTGTATGCTTTTCCGCGAGTTCTAGGTCGCGCTCGGTCATTGTATCTTTGGGATTTCGACTATTTGGGAACCATTTCTGAGTCATCCACCAATATAACAACCATGGAGAGTAGTGTGCAACTCGAAGTGTCAACTGAAATCCAATTGGCAATTTCTTCATTGCTGCATTCAATAAGTTTTGAGGCACACGGCTCCACCAAAAATTTATTAACGGAACCACCAACGAAGCTCCACTAAGCCTATCATAATTATTATAAGAAACATAATTAAGTCCAACACAAACCACTAAATTATAATCTTAGTTTGTATAAGTGAAATACCGAAGTCGGTCACTTGGTCTTATAGTATAACCTCACTTTTGGTAATTAAAAGATGAGGAGATGAAACAAGAGAGAAAAAAAAAAGTAGTGTATTTGAAAAAAAAAAACATTATTCCAACCCTAGCACTGTATTTTTTCCTTGAAATTTTTAATATTTTGAATCTACGACTAAAAATGCTTATATCGCTCCAATTTTTTCAAACCGAATTTTTTTTACAAAAAGGATTAACCAAATGTCTTTTACGTAAGAACTCGTTTTGAGAAGTATTATTGAGCAGTGACCATCACAATTAATATTTCAATTTTTTTAATGTTCTTAAGAGATAACCCATCGATATATTACCTATGAGGAATGTATTTGAGGCAACCGTAAACTGGGTAAGCTCCAAGTGACATGCCTATAACGTGGAACTTTGGACCGATTTGCAATTTGTCAGCAAGTTCTTCGATATCGTATGTATCAGTTCTCAGCGTTCGTGTTGGATTAGGATCGCTTTCTCCATAACCAGCTCTATCGATGATGCAGCGCAGTTACAAGATTCGAGGACGAATCTTTTCTTGGCCGGCGAGACCTGATGCAGCGTAGAATTAGGATAATTCCCATTTATTTATATTTTAATTATATTATTTATTTTAGTCTTTATCTTTTAGTGTTTCTAGAATATTCTAGGGTTTTCTTATGTTTTATTATAAATAAGCCATTAAGGCCTAATTTTGTAGACAGTTGATTGATTAATAAAATTAAAGAGCTTTTAGCTTTTCAGAGAAGAGTATTCTCTAAACCTTGTTTTCGGTAGATCTCGAGAGATCTCAACGATTATAAGAAGACGTAGGATTCGGTATTCGCGGAGAATCAACGAATTCCTCACGTTCTCTCGTTTCTGGTATTCCGAGGAATCAACAGATCCGAGAAACCCTAGTTTTCCGGTATTCCGAGGAATCAACGGATCTCTAGTTCTATCCTTAAAGCTTCCGCAACTTCAGTTGGTATCAGAGCTGCGTCTCTTTGATTTCTCAATCGAAGAACGATTATGGTGATCATGTTGAGTGGTAACTTTTATCCCTTTGCAGAAGAAAGTTTGTTTGAAGATGGTTACAGAGAAATCTATGGTGATCCTATCTACGATATCTATGAAGATGATGATGTCTTAGTTATTGATCATGTCGATTTTGTGTTTAGCGATGGTGCGTTCGAGAAAATCTGTGCAGAATTCAGGCAAGATACTCTTCGTGCAAAATCCGGGTGTAGTCAGATCTGTGCAAAATTCGGGTTTCCTGCAGAAATCATTGAAGATTTGATCTGTGCAATTTTCGGGTCATATCTGATTCGTGCAAATTCTGGGTCAAATCAGATTCGTGCAAATTTCGGGTCAAATCCAGTTCGTGCAAAAATTGGACAGAATCAAAAGATGGAGATAAAGCTGAATCTTCCAAGATCTCCAATGCTGAAAACCCTGCTGAAGATTCGAGGTCGAATCTTTCTTGGCCGGCGAGAGCTGATGCAGCGCAGTTACAAGATTCGAGGACGAATCTTTTCTTGGCCGGCGAGACCTGATGCAGCGTAGAATTAGGATAATTCCCATTTATTTATATTTTAATTATATTATTTATTTTAGTCTTTATCTTTTAGTGTTTCTAGAATATTCTAGGGTTTTCTTATGTTTTATTATAAATAAGCCATTAAGGCCTAATTTTGTAGACAGTTGATTGATTAATAAAATTAAAGAGCTTTTAGCTTTTCAGAGAAGAGTATTCTCTAAACCTTGTTTTCGGTAGATCTCGAGAGATCTCAACGATTATAAGAAGACGTAGGATTCGGTATTCGCGGAGAATCAACGAATTCCTCACGTTCTCTCGTTTCTGGTATTCCGAGGAATCAACAGATCCGAGAAACCCTAGTTTTCCGGTATTCCGAGGAATCAACGGATCTCTAGTTCTATCCTTAAAGCTTCCGCTACTTCAATCGAAGAACAAAAAGTATATCTTGAATTCGTCAATCATTTCCTGAAAGCCAGAGGAGCGTTATAGTTGCAAATATTATTCAATATGCAAAACAATCATTAATTGTAAAAATAAAACCACCAAAAAATATGAGAATAGTTGTGGTCTCTTTCTTTATCTCGTTCTTAATTCGATACTTATGTTTATACCTGTGTGATGTATAAATCGACGTCTTTGGAATTTCCATTTCCGTGGACGATTATTATTTTGTTTTTGGCTTTGTCCTTTGGAAACCCTAATTCTTTGTACGCTAAATGCCTCCCATCATTAAGCTTGATTCTTGGAGATATCTCGGAAACATTTTCCGGCAATGGGATCGGTGGTGGCGGTATTATGGACTTGTAGACATAATAGCTTATCAGCCCCACAATCACAAGTAAAAGCACCATTTTTTGGCCTATAAGTCTCCGAACCAAAAGACTAGAATTGACTTAAAGTAAAATGAAAGAAGAAGAAACTCAAGAAACTGACGAAAAAAGAAACTCAGAAACTAATACTCCATATGTCTAATAATATGAACAATTAATAGAGAGAAAAAACGACCTATTGATTTAGGAGATGACTAGTTAACGTGATGTAATGGTATCTTTGGTCCAAGCAACTTAATAATGGTACTATTTATTTTTGTTGGCAAGCAAAGCATGACCACTTTTTGTTACAAATGTCTTTATTCATTCTCTCTTTGTTACACATGTCTTGATAACTTATTTTGCATTACTATTAGTCTATTATTGAATTGGTTGTCATTTTGCATTTATTATCAGTTGTGTAACTCCCCTCATTTATATTACATATTGAATTATTTTTTTGGATTTATTCGACATTTTGATTTTTAGAAACTAAGAAAGAAAAACAAACTTATCCTTACTAAATTTTAAGAAATTGCTTTGTAACTTTTAATCCAAGTGTCGTGGCACGATGGTAGCAGTTTCAAAGCAAAATATTATATATAGACTATATTGCAGGGTGACCGAAATTTGTCAACCATGATTGTATCGCCAGCGCTAAGTAAAATTAATTATTGACACAATCACACAAACGAACTCTAGATAATATAGGGGATTATTAATTACACAATTAAAAAAAAAAACACACTCCGATATAAAATCTGGATGTAGTCGTAAAATCGAACATATATTTATATAATATATATCAAATTTCAAATCCATTCCAAACGCAAACTATTGAAGTTTTTTATTTATTTTTCTTTTCACATTCAACTACAAGCGGCTTTAATAATGTCTTCAAAATGCTGCTTCTCATGGATAATGAGATGTCCAGCCTCAGGGACTTCATGAAGCGTTATCCATGGAAGCTTATCACATAAGTAGAGTAAAACTTCATGCGAAATTTGTTTGTCTTCAAGTGCACACCAAATGTGAACTGACCCTTTGTTATCATCTGAAAATGGATTGCTCAGTTCGGTTGGATCAAACTCCCAATTCTGGTAACCCGCAATGATGTCTCGTTGCATGCTCACATATTCACCTTGTCGTAGTGCGGATTCCTGAACCGCATAAATCAATCGCGTTCATGAATGTTTTTTTTTTTTTATTAAAAAGGTATCATCACGTCCATTATATAAGAAAATTGGTCTAAAACTACAGAAACCTTTTAAAATCAATCTTTATATAGGTACCTTGATGTATGAGTGTTTTGTATGCTTATCCGCAAGTTCTATATCACGCTCGGTCATAGTTTCTCTAGGATTCTGACTAAATGGGGAGAACCATTTCTGAGTCATCCACCAATATAATAACCATGGAAAGTAGTGTGCGACTCCAAGTGTCCACTGATTTTGAATTGGCAATTTCTTGAACGCTGAAATCGACAAGTTTAGAGGCAGACGACTCCACCAAAAATTCAGTAACGGAACCACCAACGTTGCTCCACTTAATCTATACATATTGTTAGAGACAGTCACATATAAGTAACCTTTAATTTATATAATTCAAATTAATCTTAGTTCAACATATAATTACTAGCTAGGCCAATATGATATGTACGTAAATCCATGTGTAAATAAATGGTAAATGATAATTACGATAATATCTGACAAAAAAATGTTATTCTTGGATATTACTTGCAAGAGATTGATATACGTACCTATGAGGAATGTACTTGAGACAGCCGTAAACTGGATAAGCCCCGAGTGACATTCCTAAGACATGGAACTTTGGACCAATTTGCAATTTATCAGCAAGTTCTTCGATATCATATGTATCTGTTTTTAGTGTTCGTGATGGATGAGGATCGCTTTCTCCATAACCAGCTCTATCAAAGAGCAAGAAGTATATCTCGAATTCGTCGACCATTTCCTGAAAGCGAGAGGAACATATGTAGTAGTTCCAGTTAATTATCATGATGATATGAAACAATCAAGGAGCTAGTTTGCAATATAATAACTTTTTGATCCTTATATTAATACCTGTGTGATTTTTAAATCCACTAACTTGGAACTCCCGAATCCATGGAGAATGATAATCTTATTTTTGGCTTTGTCTTTTGGAAACCCTAATTCTCTGTAGGCTAAATATCTGCCATCGTTGAGTTTGATTCTTGGAGATATCTCAGAAACATTCTCCGGCAATGGAATTGGCGGCGGCGGTTTTATGGACTTGTAGACATAATAGGCTATTAAACCGACAGCCGCAACTAGAAACAACATCATATGACCTGTAATATATGAGGGAACATCGGAAAGAGTACGTTCAATGCCTCAAAACAAACTAGCAGTAGTGATCATCGTCAACGTTTTAGTAAGTTCCATAAACGATTTAAAATTTGTTTTAAGAATAATGAAAAAGAAGAAACTTTAAAATATGATAGATGCATGCGTGACCAATTGACATAGAGAGAAAACCGACCTGGTGATTCGAGAGATTGCTTGGTAATGTAAAATCTTTTAGTGATGATATCGCTGGTCAAAGGAATTTATCAATACTTATACTAACCAAAAGACAAGACAAAGGCTAAGACTAATCAAACAAATTAAGAAGGAGAGGCAATTTATGAGTTTTAGATTTGAATACAGATTTTTTATTTTCTTTCGGTATCAAGATTTGAATAAAGATGGAAATAAAGAAGAGCTTATCTGTTGAGAAATATTAGATCATAAGGAATTGGACGCGTACTTAACATCTCAAATGACACATAATATGTTTATTTTACCTTTTCAAGTAACCGACATCTATCTAATGCTTTAGATCGTGACATGTATAAAATTTAAAAATAATAATTAAAGTACCATTAAGAACCTAAGATGTTAGATTAACAATAAGATTTAATACACGTATGTGTATGCATATAAAAATAATTGATTTCTTACTACTATCTACATTATGTGGTTTTCCTTCTTTATTTGATTGATACATTACCAACTAAATCTATTTGTTTCTAACCGAAATAAACATGTCACAATGTATGATTGTAATAAACTAGTATCAGTATTTCCAATCAAGAGCATGATTGCGGAAAGAAAGAGTGGATTATCAAAAGGAAAATAATTGCGGATGGAACCCAAATACAATCGAACTTTTAAATGTTATGTTTTGGGAAAATTCAACGAGCAAAATTAAAATAAAGTCCAAAGAAGAAAAGACTTTGCTAGGCTGCAAAAAGAAACATTATTTATTCATTCTTCATAAACTTGCTTTGCTGTGACACTGTGATCTTTTCACACCAATTAAAAGAGTATCAAGATGTGTCTTCCCCGAGAGAGGGAAGACTTTGAATTTGTCTTATTCAGAGGTCTTCTGGACCATTGATGTTCTGTAAAAAAAACATAATGGTAAGTTTTAGTTCAAAATAATATAGGGTTCAAACTAAACATGTAGAATGCCAATTCGGTTTAGCTGAACCAGATTAAACATTATATTCAATCCTAATTTTCATTTTGGAGATTACTCTCAAAAACCTGAACCAAGATCAATACCGCATCAAACTAATTTATACTGTTTCTAAAAATCGATAAAACGAAACTATATGGATTGACCATCTCTGAATTACAAACCCCAAGAAATCAAACCAAATTTCAATTTTGAGTGATATTGTTTTACTTTTTCAACATAGAATCAAGCGGTAACCATAATTGTGGCGAAAATAAAACAGCCGAATTTTGAACATAACCATGGTTCGTTACATTACCTTGTTGTCGACCACGGCCCTGTCCGGAATTTCGAGCTTCACACCGGATTTTGCAGTCACAGTTACCTTGCCCTTTAAACCCAAAAGAAACCACTCTGAGCATATAAAATATCAACACCACCTTGGGAACTAATGAACAATTTACATATATATGTAGCTATACCTTGAGAACAACCGAAGAGCCAAACCAGACATCCCCAGACACCTTAAGGCTGTCGAGCTCGACTATACTAGGAATGGACTTAAACCGGCTCAAGAAATTAGCCACCTGTTATAGACAGACACACTAAGTGAGGCTCAAGAGTCAAGATACAATGTTTAAAATGACAAATGGGACTTGTCAGGAGATCATTATCTTCATTTACCTTCTTGAACTCAGGTCCCAATTCAATTGATGGGTTTGAGGGGTTAGTTCTAGCTTTGTTTCGGGTAACGAAGCCATCAACTAGCGTGTAGAGATCAGACTGTGGAAGAATGAAAACTTAAATCATTAGTCAAATGATTCAAAAGATATCGGTGTTACTCTGTTGCACTGTTAAATGTGGTGGGATAGAGTTCACCTGGACGAGCAGCAAGTCCGAGCTTGCCTTCACTGGCAAGAACCGTGAACGAGGTACATTAACACCGATAGCATTGTCAAAGAACTGTTTTGAGACAGAATCACACAAAAAAGGAGTAAGAAAAGATTAGAGTTTGCATTCTATATTTCGAAATGTGCCACTAGGACAGGCATGTTACCCTTATCGCAGCACCAGCTGCAGTTTCCAGTTGAAGAACTTTGACTCCATCAACTTCCTGCATAGAATTTACAGTTTTTCTTCGGTTAGATAATAATGAAAATTGCAAAAAAAAAAAAAAAACTTGTGCATTAGGCCACGCAGGCACCTTTGGGTTTGGAATGATCTCCATTTTAAGTGCATCAGCTTCCACAAGCTTTTTGATGGCCTTCAAGTTAACCCATCTGTAAACTTACACAGTTAGCGTGTACAAATAAGTTTATATTGTTTTATAGGGACGTGATCTACTTACAAGTTGTTTGTGTTGAATATCTTGAACTTCTCAATTGATTTGAATTCATTGACCTACCACAAGGATCAAAACACGAGTGCAACAACTCTTTTAAGCAGATGATACAAGTCGAAGTAAACAGAAAGACGGCATAAACAAAAGTCTACAGTTTCACATTCTATTGTTTCTTCAATAAATTTGGCATTTACTATATTCCCTTCATAAGAACAATCTAAAGCAGAGAGGAGGGATAAATGGCTTTGCAGAGCTTCCAAGAAATGATTCTCTACACTTAGCTCATTTATACCAACTTTCCCCAAATCTCTAATGAATATGCTACAATAGTTTAATCTCTAAAGAAATTGAAATCCAAACGGTAAAAGGAAGGAAAACGAGGAAGTATAGAGACTTACATGTTCATCAGGAACCTGAGCAATCTCCAGAAGCTGGGATAAACCAAAAAGTCCATGTCAAGAACAATACTTATGTTCTTCAGTAGCACAAGAAAATTGTAGCAGTGAGAAGATCATGAGTTGCAAAGAGGTTTACGATTTTTTATATAATAGGAACTTAATAGACATATAAATAAATATACTACTGTTTTTTTCCTTTTTTTAGTATAAAAATGCATTTACAGATCCAATAACAATCTACAGTAGACAAAACCGTTTTTCAAATAACCAATGCATAAAGAAAGGTACATCTAAACAAGAAAGGACACAATCAAGAACTTACCTGGACTTTGCCTTCATAAGAAATGAGAGTTCCTCCCTTTACATCAGCTAAGGTTTTGGGTGTAACTTCCATGCAGTACTCGTTCTTGTTCTGGATCAAATGCTTCAGGATTGCTGCAGCAATTAGACGAAGGACGAGGTAAGTAAGACAGTTAGTATGGGAATTTCATGTAAAACTTTCTGATTAACCATATAAACTATGTGTAAACAAGAAGGAGAAGACTACAAAGAAGACATACTTAAGTCAACGATGGCACCCAAGTTGTCTGAATTGGCAACAAACACATATTCCTTACCCTGAGAGACCCAAAAAACGCAATTTTCAATACACATGGACATCAATCTTAAATGCTGGGGAAAACAGTAGTTGACAGCACTAAAGAAAGAACCTGTGATAAGAAAGTATCGAGCTTTCCACTGTTCATGAGGGCTGGGAATACATCACCATGACCAGGAGGATACCTTCACAAAGATAATTTATTAGTAGGCGATCTGATAAACAACAGAAGATATTCTTTAAATGCAAACGTAATCTCCAGTGAAAACGCAAATAAAAGTTAAAAAAAATCTACGACGACTACAACATATGGTCAACCAGCAAACAGATGAAACTTATGATAATTAAAAACATGTCGTATTCTCTAATAGATTTCAGACATGTTTGAAAATTCAAAACTTCATGTTCTCTGCAATCATGGACTGATCTCAGAGAGCACAAGGCAATATAATTCGGTTATCAGTAATGATACTCCATCACGTAGATAAATTCAACCAGTTCTCACTTGTATAAGAAGATAAAATGTGACTTCATATGAACATGAACAATAGCCACTTAAAGTATCAAGATTTAAGTAAACATGAATACTGTTTTGAGAGTCTGTTTCCTGTTGCTGTTCAGTATCTAAATTGCAGAATGATAGATTTCAATAGTTTTGACAAAGTTGAAAAACTGTGTGATAATGAAGCACAAGGCACAACGAAGAAAGAAACTAATACATAACAAAATGAAATCATACCAGCCCTCCTTGTCGGTCTTTCCCTTGCTGGGCCATGGCACAAACTCATCTGCCACAATACGGGGATATTTGCTCTACAATATCCAAGTAAACGTTAGTAGTTGCAGATCAGATGTCAGTTTTTACATACAAGTGAAGAGCTAATTTGATATGCATCCACAACACAAACCTGGTTAAATGTGTGAATGTCAACATTTGAGTGGGTGTACTTTTCCACAATCTGAATATGACAAAAACAGTCAGCCAAGAAGAATAGCATAAATATAGAAGAAAAGAAATGTGATCTACAGTTAAAGAGAAGTACCTTTTGTGTGTCATCATGTGTATTAAATGAGTTCATGAGAACCAACGGAACCTTGCAGCCATACTTGTTGTTGAGATTCTGTGAGTGAGCGGAATATATTGAGCATTAGATTAGCAAACATAAGTAGGGTAGAGTAAAAAAAAAAAGAAATGACAAACCTCAATCTGGATAACAATCAGATCAAGAAATGTCAAACCATCACGAACTTCGATAACCGACCTGCACAGAAACAAGTAAGCTACAATTTCTTTACATCCTGAATCTTGGAACGACTACTAGTACATGACTGTTATGCCAAAAAAAAATCACAATGGATTCTTCACTAGCTTCAATTTGAACGTTACATCCACTAGCGATGAAAGCAAAATTTATACTGTAGACAAGACAACATTCAACCAGAAAGTCCAAAGACAAGGATGACATAGCAAATAGATCTAGCATACATGAACTTGAAATCTCAAAGAGACACAATTAGATTGAAAAAAATAAATTAAAACAGACAGGAAAAAAAGGCTTACTTGGGGCCAGTGCATCCCATTGTTGTCCCAAGACCTCCATTAAGCTTTAACACAACAAGTTTGTCCAAGAGATTCTTGGTCTCGGAAACATCTACATCAATTTTAAAATTAGTATCACAGAGAAACTGCAAGCATATTGAAACAAACAAACAAAAAAAGGTTCAAGAATAAAACCTTGGGAGACGGAAGCCATTTTCTCGTAGGGAACAACGATTTCATCAGTAGGTGTCTGGATCTTACTCCACTCAATGTGCTGTGCCTCACCGCTTCAAAATTCAATACAAAGTCAGTGACCGTGGAACAAATCATTCTACTGTTACTACGTAAAACAACGACGAAAACAACTCAGATCTATATCCAGATCCGATCGAAGTCAGGTTTAATAATCGTTCAGATTGAAAACAATTTCAGAAATCACAGAGAATCAAGAATAACCGACAAAGCTGAGGAACTAGGAAATAGTGTTTGATCATCAACCAATCGATCGATATATCGGAAGTACACATCCACACAAAAAAAAAAAAAAAAAAAAAAACAATTGGACGCTATCAAGAGAACCTTAGGTAACGTGAAACGAGGCCGATGAATCCGCTCTTCTCATTCTCACTGACACAAAAAGGAGAAAACAAACAGATCAGTCTAAATAATAACGAAAATTCAGATCTAGAATTATGAAGATCCAACAGATTTAGGAACAAACGAGACTAAAATACAATCGAATCAGAGAAGACGAACCTCATCTCAGAAAGGCCATCGACGGCGGATTTGAGTTGAGGGAGATTCTCGGTGGTGGCGGCCATTGTTGATTACAGATTTAAGAGCTTTGGATCCAAAAGAAAAAAACGAAGAGAGGATTGTTTTTTGTGAATGAATAGAGAAAATTGGAAATTAAAGCAGAGAAATATTTATAGGCGAAGGGAGTTTTTGGTAGTAGTGGTGATGAAGTGATGATGCGTGGTGTTACCGCAAATATATATGTCTGTCGTCTTCTCCCAGCCAATTATAAATATACACGTGTCACTTTTCATATTCGTCCGGTTTCGTTAGTACCGTCAATTTCCTTTTTCCTTTTTTTTTCCCCATCGTCCGGTTTCGTCTTATTACCTGTCAATATATTGTTTCCTTTTGTTAGGTTCTTTAAAAAAAAAAAAAAAAACTTTTTTGGTCGTGAATATTTGAGTTTAATTTTTTTTTATAAAAGATTTTCTATTATTGATTGCATTAGAAATGAAATGTTACACAGCCATCATTAATGCCCAATGGCTAAATAGCTCAACACATTACATAAACAAAACCAAATTGTACCAAATTAACTTCAAACTATAAATTTTTTTATAAAATTCTGTAAGTTAGAAAGTTGATTAAATTATAGTATTTTTTTATAAGACCATGCATACAAATTGCAAACTAATTTCTAAGAGAGTATATAAAGATCAATTTATAAGAAGGTAAAACTGTGATTTAAGAACAGTTATATGTTCACATGTAAAAGCTCATAAACTCATTACACCAAAAAAGAAGAAGCTCATGAACATACTTATAAATGGATATATATATATATATATATATATATATCAAAAAAATTTCTAGCTTTACTAAAAATTAGTTTCGAAATACATAGTTTGATGTATGTTATTCTTATATCGTATTCCAAATTATCAAAGTTCATTGCAAAAATAAAATTATTTATGAATTTGGAATATGAAAATTTTAAGAATTTTTTAGGAATATTGTAAGAGTTTATTAAGAATTTTGTAAGATTGTTGAGAATTTTCGAGAATAAGAATTTACGGATTGTCTGTTTTATGTATTTTTAAATATAAATATTTTGTGAAAAAGTTAACGGATGTTAGTTTCCGAAAAATAAAATTAGTTTATTTATATATTTTCTGAAACATTCATAAACTTATATAGTTTAGTGAAAATATATAACTAAATAATTAGTGTATTTTAATGAATCTTCGTTTATTTTTTTTTTATCAAATGTTCAATCATATTTACGATTTCATCATTATTATCAAACATTTATCTTCAAACTATGACTAAATTATTAGTATAACCAATAGAATAAACCAACCAAAACCAATAAGAAAACCCCATATATAAAGATGGGTTGTTTTATTACTTTCATCAATCGGTCTGTAATCTTACCGATCGGAAATATCTTAAAGCTCATGTCCATAAAACCATCACAACCAATCGAAGTCATAAAATCCCCCGATAAAAATATCTCAAACAAAACGAAAAAAAACAAAGAAAACAAAAGAGAATCTTCCACAGCATATTCCCTCACTCAACATTGAGGACAATTGAGTAAACCTTTGATCCTTTGAACAGTGGAGCTGATCAAACCACTCACTGTGTCCACCGACTTCTCATTCACCTCTCTCGACCTAGCGGCCTTTCCAGAGACAAGGATCTGAAAGGCCACCGTGAGTAAGGTTCCACCGTCCTCCACAGTGGATCGCCTGCCGTCGCTTGAGATGATGAAACCAGAAGGAAGGATTGGGATATGGGAAGGGTCTACTTCGCCGGAGACAGCGAAATTCATTGTAGCCATGTCCATAGGAGCGTACACGATCATGCCTCCCAAGGCGTCCATGTAACAATCTTGCAGCATCAACATATCATCCTTGCTTGAGTCTTGCGCCACCATCTTGTCATTATTCTCTTCTTGCGTTGGCTAATGAATATTATTGTATACACATGCACGACGAATAAAGATATTAGAGTTATATAATTTGCCAATAAACCATTAATAATAATTAAAATAAAGTCGAAGAGAGATATATACATGTACCCGGAGAATGGTTAAGCAGTTGGTTTCACTTGATCCGGTGGCAATGCGAGCGATCTCATTGACTAAGGTTCCATAGGAAAGAATGTCCCACTGTTACACGTAAACGTTTTTGTTGTTAATACGTGATTTAAGACAACAATAATCAAGAAGGCAAAAACAACTTTAGTTATCCATGTTTTCTACAACATGAGGCTTCGGTCCATCATCATCCGCATGGATGAATTCGGGCAAGTGTAACCGTATCAAAGTTCATAAATTTTGATGAACATGCAGATCAAGAAAGAGAGATAGAGAAAAGAAAGAACCTGTTGACGAGTGTCGAGGTTTTGAAGGAAAACGAAGACTTGCAAAGGAGTGAGAGGGATTGTGAGAGAAGACGAAGCACTGACAACGATACCGGGTGGTTGACCGGCCTCATTGTTCATCCGAATCGAGACTCTCACTCCATTTTTCGACTGCTGCGGAAAGTCAACTTTTCCGGACATGGTCAACATTTCGTTGAAATTCTTTACCATTCTCTCACCTAATTTCATTACACTCCTTCTTGCTTCTCCTGTCGATATGACTGCCAAAATATAATCAACTTGATCAAACGCCACATTATTGTAGAAACTATATATACGTGATATACAATGATCAATTTCAAATAATTAATGTAATAAAGTAAAGTTGCATGTCTTAGGGTTAGAACCTCGAGGTAAAATAAAAATCATCCGACCAGCTTAACATTTTTTTAGCTGGTTGCACTAGCCTCATAAACAGATGATGTGTATTATAGATGACCTATGATCTTAATCCATTTATTTATACAATTTTTCAAACTTCAAAAAGCAAAATTAGGATAAGACCAGAAAATTAAATAAAATGATATAAAACATTTTTGTGAAAATTTTGTAACTATCTCATACTTTTGATTCAAAAAGATAAGCAATCACAAAAAGAAAATTTTGTTTCTAAATTTTAAAATTAGAAAACTTGAATATCGGGAAATTAAGTATAGATATATGAGAAAATTTTTTTTTTTCTTTATATGTTTTTTATGCCAGTACATTCACATCTTTAGGGAATAAAAACTTCCGTTTATTCGTCATCCAAATTTTGACTCGTAATTTTTTCCTAATTTATTTTATAGAAATCGAAGAAAACATTGACTAGTGTTCTAGTTTTTTTTTAACAGAAAAAAAATTGTTGGTAAATATCAATTATCATCAAAATGATACAATCATACCAAGTGATAAAAAAACAACATATTTTAATTTACTTGCACAATTTGAAGTCATTCGTTAAGTTAGTCGTAAAGATGATACGTACCTTCGCTCCAGTCACTTGGAGGAAGGGTTCGGATGGAGGAGAGAGCCATCCTCTCACACATTCTCTCAAGTGTGACGATCCAACGCTTAGCTCCATAGCCTGACCCGCCACTTACAAGATCTCTATAGATCTTATGTGTATCCAATTTATGGTCCACTTCCACATGCTCTATCCACATTACCTACAATATTTTTGACCGCTCCCAATTAAATGCAATATAGAAAAAAAGACATTTATGAGCTCGATCGAGAGGCAATGAAGAGATACCTTGGAGTGAGCATTGGGCAAGGCCTGGATGAGACAACCCGAAGGACGTTTGTAACAAGCAGCATTGGCAAAGTCAAAGTGAGCACGGTGTGACACGTCAGCAATAATCCAGAGCCCTTTCTCGATCTCTTGGCAGCACCTGACGATCATGAACTCCCTTGCTGGCACTAGCGGCGACAGAATGTGTAGTTGCTCCCATATCTATCAAATTTCATTCACATTCAAAACACCAAATGTGTTAGTGATTCTATTGAGGAAAACAAACCTTATCTAATATCCTTCAAACCTAAATTCGAATAAAAAATCCTTAAACCTAAAGTTGGTTACGTAAATATTAGATTGGTAACATTTTGAAGTTCCACTACAAAACTAGTTCTTACCACTTGCAAAACATTGCAGTTTTCTCTTATAGGAAGCCCCGATCCGAGCACATGAATCGTCTTGGCCTTGTTCACAATCGTTGGAAAAAGCTCTTTCCATTTTTCCTACAATAAACAAGTACCATTTTCACATTTTTTTATCCAAACCTCAAAAGTCAAAACGAAAGAATAATTTTTTTAAGAACAGACAAACAGAAATATAATAAATACCGAATCTAAGAACATTTCGATCAAGTTTATTGCTTCTATAGGAACCACCGTGACATCTTTGGAAGACTCGACATGAGCAGTAGTACTGCTGAAATGTTTGACAGCATGCGAGAACTTCTCATAGCTGTCTGTATCAATCACATAAGTCTGGTCGATACACGACTTAACCCAAAATTGTTCCTCAGTCAAAAACAGCCGCTTGAGCTCTTCAACCGCACTTGCGGCGATTTCAGTCAACAGGCTTATATCCGTTTCGGATAGGGGTCGTGGTTGGATGATTTGAGAAGTTGGTGGTCCATATGAGCTAGATGGCTCGTATCTGTTGCTTCCGTTAATTCCGTACGAGATGCCATTAAAGATTTGATGGCTAGGAACATAAGCTAATGAGTCCCCCACGGTTGGTTCATTGGGCATGTGGTTGTTTACAAAATTGGAGAGTCTGTCACGCTTCACACAAAAATAAATAGTTAGTGGCATATATGTATATGTATATGTATATCTATATATTCACAATCAATATATACAGTTTTATATACTTTTTCGAATATCGAATATCATTCTTTAAAGATTAATATCATTTTGTTCTTAAAATTAAATGAGAAATATTCCGATGGTCAAATAAACATCCAAAAAAAAAAGTGAAATATTTATGGATTAAAACAAATGAAATCATATGTTTACGTTCTCTTTAAGGCGGGCGTTTTCGAAACGCAGAATTTGGAGATTGTGTTCGCGTCCTTCTCTGCCAAAAGGAGGGCCTCCACAAGCTGGACAGATCACATTTCTTAAAGCATCGAGCATTGCTTCGTTCTCACTTTGGAGAGCCTCATTTTCTCCACGAAGTAATACGTTAGTGGATCTTTCGTCTTGAGTCTATAGCATATGAGAAAAATAATATATATATATATATATATATGTATTAATTGGTTGAAATAAATTACTGAATATTATTTAAAAAGGATTTGCCAAGATAAATATACTCTGCTCTGAGTCCTTTTGTTCTGAAACCAAAATTTGATTTGGTCAGCCTCAAGTTTCAGCTCTTGACATAATTGTTTTCGTTGTGTTTCGTCTGGATGAGGACATTCCTTGAAATAACTTGATTCAAGAAATCAAAATCAGTTATTATAATCAAAAATTTATTAGGTTTTTAAGCAATTAATAAATAAATAAATAAGGTTTTACGCTTCAAGTCTTTGGATCTGTTGAGGGGTGTGGCGATGACAAGTCCTCTTCCCGTTTTGATTGGCGTCTCCCGAAGTGTATTGTTCATTGCCTGATGAGCTCCCACCACCATCATTATCCATTTTGTTCTTCACAAATAATAATTTTTTTGTTTTAGCAAATGATTTTTTGTTTTTGTTAAGGCACAAGTTAATCAGTATTTATAGGGGAATTAAGGATAATTTTTTAAAATATACATTAATTCATAAAAAGGGAAGAAGGGGGAAATATAGATATTACTATTTGAGTGGGCAAAATTATATGTTAAAGGTATTTATTACATTATATGTTAAAAGGTAATATTTAATTCAAATATGTATTAAAGATATATATAATATATGTTTTGTATAAAATGTATTGAGGGTGAACAAATAAAATAAAATAAAAATTAAATCTAAGCAAGACTTAAATTATTGAGATAAGATTTGCTTTCTAAATATTATTGGTCGATTTATTTTTGAGGGTGAAATAAAACAAATCAAACAAACATTTTTATTTAGTTTATAATTATTAAATGTATTTTTTGAAAGGTAAATATAAATTTATATATAATATGAAAATACAAAATGTTAAATCAAAAATATCAACAATATTGTCAAGTGTCAAATAAACTTTTTGATATGTTTTCTATTATTTATATTTTAAGTTTTGGTGTCTAAATGTCTATTGTACAAAAAAAAGTAGGTAAATACTTTATTACAGAAAGCTTGTGCTAATCATTAAGTTAATTTTTTTGCTAAAAATTAAATAAATTCATAATTAGTGTTTTAAATATTAATTAAATGGTTTTAGTCCTATTTTCTTAATTATGTTAACTTATTTATAAAATAAGAGAATGGAAAGATATCATCAATTATATATTTATATAGAATAGAAATGACAATTTATTGTAAAGTACCTTTTTATAGACAGTGACAGCTTATTCAACAGGTTGCAAATACTCAAATTAGTAATGTGGAAAGAAGATTTTTCAAATCTAAGGAAACATTGATCTAGAGGTGTGTCGCATGAGGAAAGAAAAAAGATGACATTTTTCTTACGTCTCTATATTATATTAGTTTTTAGGTTTAAAAATAAAAATAAAAATTCTCGTTTTGCCATCATTTTTGTTAAAATTCTATGTAAATTGTTATTTTTTATTCGTCTTAAATCTCTAACATTTTAGAATGACACTACTAATTAGTGATACAATCCTAAATGGTTGGTATTATGGTGCATGATTCGCAAAACCGATTCAAACCAGGACTAAATTGTCAACAACTGGATCAATCCAATCTAGATAGAAAAGCCTAAATTATAGATTTTTTTTTGCTCAAGAACATATATTATAAATCAGTTTAGTTCAATGAATTCATGAATCCCTTATGATTTGGCTCCCATTCTTTTTTTTGGTCGAAATTTGGCTCCCATTTAAGTTCAAGAATACTCGCAATCCAATCCAAACGACATATCATCTCATCAATACTAGTCTTATCCCGTGTTTAAAAAATCGTTAGGCGCTAGTCGGGCGGTGAGGGTGCGCCTAGCGCCTAGCAAGAAAATCGGGGATTACACGGGGATAGTTTTAGGGCTATTTAATGTTTTAAAAACATATTAATCTATTATAACTAAGAAATTTATATAATATTGTTTTTATTATTGTATTAAACACATGAAAACAAGATTTTAATTTCAAATTTATGATTTTTATACAAATTACGAACATAAGTAGGACGTTTTGAATTTTAGAAAAAAAAAAGTAAAAAAAAAGTTAAAAAAAAAAATTGGGTTGGGCGCTGTCTAGGCGGTGGGCTAGGTGGCCGCCTAGACGGTCTAGGCGGACAAAAAATCGGATCTCCGATTTTTCTCACCGATTTAGACAAAATCGCTGCGGTGCTCCTCCGATCAGCGTCTAGGCGGCCGATTTTTAGAACAGGGGTCTTATCACTCTTAGCAACAATAACCATATTACCTACTTAGACTAAACATAATGTGTTTATCATACTAAAATTTAAATTCAACGTCTCTTTCTATATTTGAAAATCACACATCAAGTACCAATGACTATGTTTCGAATTGGATTCACCGAAACTATATTTGGATCATCAGATTAATCTTAATCATATCTGACAGTTGTTCATATATATATCCACCCAAATTTTAAATTCAACGGCTCTTTTTTTTTTTTTTGGTAAAAGATTCAACGGCTCTTTTTTATATTTAAATGTCACAAATCAAATACCAACGGGTATATTCCCAAATTGGTGATTGGTGAAGCCATATTTAGATCATCAGTTTAATCTTTATCATATCTGACAGTTGTTCTTTCACTTTAAATTCAAATATAACCGCTCTTTCTATATTTGAAAATCATAATCAACATCTATATTCCTGAACTGTACTCACCAAAACTATATTTAGATCATTTGATTAATCTTAAGTTTCTAAATCAGCCACCGAGCGAAAAATGAAAATTTCAATTTTCAATCCAACGTTATCATTCAAAATCAGATAAAAACAGCTCCAGCGACGGTCTCTTTTTTTTTTTTTTTTTTCCTCTTTTAGTTATGTACTTGTTTTATTCTCTTTTAATTAAATTTTTGCTTTAATTTATACAGATTTGTCAACAAATGGACCAAAGAACGTAAATTTGTAAAGGTTTCCAACACAAGAATAATTTTTTCGGAAAACCCAAATCCAGCCGATCAGTTCATGATCTAACACAATAATTTTGGGACTACTCATCTCGGCCATGTTTATTTTAAGCCCATTTTGATCATGATCTAGTGATTAAGTCCAACTAGGCTATGCTCAAACCTAATGATCATGAATCCATTATGACTCGGCCTGCCAATCAAGTTAAAACAAACCCATAATCTGGCCCATACAATATCGTGAATTATCCCATCCACGACTTGTCCTATCTGAATGAATGGTCCACGACATCCATATTCCATTCACAGATTAGCCATGATCAACCACACATCAAGATTCAATCCAATTATACCAATCAACGATAGAACATTTTTCTTTTCGACAAGATTCAACCTCATCAACTATTTCTATATTCGACTTTATCCCAGAATCATACTCATTAAGGCCATCTTTTGATGGAGAATAGTGATTTATAAACTCTTGTTGTCCAAAAAGAAAAAAATTAAGGCCATCTTGTGATTATAATCTTGATCAAACATGGGGATTATTCCTCTATCTAAAACCAAATTCCAATGTTTATTTAGTTTTTTTTTTTGTTTAGTCCACCAAGATTTTTCATGAATGAACAAGTTTCCAAACAAACAAACAAAAGAGTAAATATCATTTAACTGAAATTATTAATGATACAGAACTAATCAGTTTCACAAATTTGCAAAAGGCAACAAAATAATAAATATCAAAACAATGCATGAGTGACACACGTAACTACTAAAGTTATTAACTGGGTCCAATTAAAGAACAAGAGAGACTTTAATTAGCCTTAACAACTGTGACTGGACATGTTGCATTTGTCACCACATGATTGCTCACACTACCTAGCAAGATCCTACAATAAAAAGAAAACCATAGATAACGTAAATACGTGATTATGTTTGCCAAAACAAAAAATGATAACGTAATTATTAATTAATTAAATCTCCTTATGCTGTATACGTAATTACGTCTATACAAACTATATACGCGTGTCGATAATATAGAGGTGCTCAATTTAGGTCCGGTTAACAAAAACCAAACAGCCGGTTACTAAAGCCAAATCAAACCACTAAAATTAATTTGAGAAAAGCCAAATCAGTTTCTATTATTTGAAGCTATATTGCCTAAATATACTGAAAATCCGAATTTTTTGAACCAAAATGTAACGAAACTAGACTATAGCTAGTAATTAAGAATAAGAATTTACCTTTTGAGAGAACCCAAACCTCGACTGCCAAGAACAATGGAATCGAGTTTAAGATTTTCGACAGCATCACAAAGTTTCTCTCTTGGATCTCCCCAATACACCTTTGCCACAACCTTCACCTATAATTTTGTTTAAGGTTTATACTTACAATGAGTTAAACATCATTAATTATTCGAAAGAGGACATTATTTACCTTTTTAGCCCTAGAGAGAGTATCAAGAACATCAAGAACCTCAGGATCGTAAGCAAGTCCATACTGTTTAGACAAATTAATCTCTCTAAATTCCTCCAAAGGAACTAGCGCTGCATGCAATAATTAGTTTGTAAATTTAAATTATCAACATACAAAATTTTGATCATCATATGGAAAAAATTTACTAATTTAATTACGTGAACCGGTGTCCTCGAAGAGGATTTTGCGGGTATGATCGGCGTTTTGCGGTTGGACGTGAATCAAGATGACGGTGTCGCCGTCTTCAAGGAGATTCTCCGCCGCCCACCGGAGAGCTAATTTGCTCGTCGGAGAATAGTCCATTCCCACTCCCACTGTACGTGCCTTTCCCATCTCTCTCTATATCTCTCTCTCTCGATGATTTCTAAGTGGAAATTGATTACGGTAGTCTAATTTATAGAATGTATAACCGGTTTGATTGATGGTTTAGACTTTGGAGAATATTGGCGCACACAGAATTCGAGATATTTAATGAATGTCTTTTTCTTTTAACTGTTTCTGGATTGTGATTTGGAGATTCTTGAAGCTACTAGGTCTCTCTCTATTTGCTTTTTTCTTAAAATTCTTTGTTAAAATACTGTAAAATTAAAATTGATAGAAAACAGAATTTTCAACTTTTGAGTTGTTTTTCTTGTTATTACGTCTGTGTGCATAACATTAATATTTTATTCACCTCTTAACATATCATATATTGATTTGGTGTCCTATTCATATAGACATTTAATATACTTGATATTGAAAATATAATTTTACAGTGATGTGATGTGAGCGAATACATTTTGGTCTTTTAGTCGAAATCTTAAATGGTGTACTGATGAAAGCCATGGAAGATTCAAGATATGTATTTGCACACGTAGTGTATTGGTGAATTCTCTTTATCTCACTTGCTCTCCAAGAAAAGTAATATTCTTTGTCAACTTTCAGCAAAGGCGAATTTTATTCTTCGACTTTTCTTCCTTTATTAGCTTGTTTTTTATTCATTGATTGATGGAACACATACCAATCAAAACCAACTTTATTCTCTTAGTATATTTTATGTAAATGTACTGTAAACATATAGTATTTAAATATTTGATGGCTTGGAAAGAAAAAAAAACACCACTAGTTTGATAGTTGTTACGTACGATGCTTATATCGTTAATTAGTACGTAAGAAACTCCAAAACAGTCAATGTTTTGATACTATCGTTTAACAAAATCCAGATTCTATGGCCATCAATTTATTTTCAAAAGAAATTTTAAACAAATTTAAAATATCGGTCCCAAATTAACTATCTTTAAGAAAGAAAATAAAAATACAAATTGTCGATTTCAAATAGTAAGGCGGCGAGCCAGTGTAAACAAGTAACCTAGAAGATCCACAACAACAAAGCCCAGGGACAAGGTTAAAGTGTAAAAACAAAAAATGAAATTGTAAACGATAATTTTGGTTTAATCTTTTAAAACAAGTCTATAAGTAATTGTAAACCATCTTAAAAGATGATAAGAAATCATTATGAAATTAAAATAAATATAACAACTCCTCGGTGAAATATTATTCCAACTCAAAATTTCCTTTAAACTTTAGAAAAAAAAACAAAGTTCCTGATGATAAAACAGAAACAAAAGAAATTAAATAGAACAAGCACAGCTAAAGTAAACCTAAAACAAATTTCGATCAATTATTAATGTAAGTGCAATACTGCTTAACAGAACTACTAAAGAAAGAATTGCTGAGTGGTTTGAAAATGGCTTGAGTACAGTCTTCGTCGATCTCAACAATGGCCTTGCAACATTCTGGTCCTATCGTGATTTGACGGTTAAAGAATGAACCGAAGATTTCCGCCACACAGGCTTCTCCGTCTCCTAGGTCTGGAAAACACATCCTAGCTAACTCGCTATTATCACTGTTACCGATAATTCCACCGAAGATGGAAGGGAGCGAAAATGGAAGTGGAAGCGGGAACGGAAACGGGAATAAGGAGAATGCGGTTGCGGCTAGAGGTGCAAAGGATGATGAGAGGAGAAGGGCGAGTACGAGAGAAATTGGTTTCATCATGATGATGAAGAAACAAATGCTAATACTTAATTAACAAATGTAAGTGATATTTTTATAGCGGCTTGAATTGATGCTTGAATCTTGGTGAAGCCTATAAAGGTTTTGTAGGGTTTTGTAAATATAAGAGAGAAAAAAGGAAATAAAAATCGTAGATAGAGGAAGACAGTTATACACTGAACAATAAAAAGATCTTTTTGTTATAATTCTAGTGTTCAAAAATCGTTAAAATTGGACTAGCTACTTTGATTAATTGTTCAAGCGAAGTTTAAGTAGTTTATATATAGGTTATACCACTTAATTATTACGAGTTGTTTATAGGAAACTATAGTATCAAACTTATATGAATTTGTAACAAAAATGTGAAAAAACTTAAGAGACAAATTAAATGAATCTTACTCTACGGGTCTATTCGATCGGTTTCAGAACTAAACGGTTTTGTGTAAATTTGTCTTCAATAATGAATTTTTTTAGATTGTTTAATTAACCAATTTAAGATTACGATTGTCTACATATATATATATATATATGATGGCGTTAGAGTAGGAGAAGCACAAATATCCCATATCCCGTTTACATTCAAATTTGAATTTAGCAATCAAATTTTAATACATTTGTTAAAAGAAAAGGTTAATTAGGTCTTGAAGCAACAAGAACAGTCCCATGGGCAACGGAACCGTCGCGTCTTATTTTTTTTTTATTTTTTTTTTGTGCAAAGCGGAACCGTCGCGTCATTGAAGTCAATAAACCGAAAACACAGATGTATTAAGAAGTGAGCGTGAATCCCACACGAATGCTTAATTATATTATTATCATATCGTGTGATTAAATTTTTTGTGATAACAACTGGAAGAGTAAGCAAATACTATATAAATAAGATCTGATTTTGGTTTAACTAATAGTACAATAATTTGTGCGTCCTTTCGTCACACTTTGAACCCCTGAAAATTAGGGAACTTAAGTTAACACAACGAAATTATAATGCTGTCACCGTCTCTTCACGATGTATAAAACAGGTAGCTACGTTGACTCAACGACACATAAAAATTTAACTTTCTTCTAATTCAAAATAATTTTGAGATTTTGACTTTTGCATTCTTTTTATTATCCCAATTATTTTGGTTAGATGAAAATAATGTTGATTAATTTTTTTCCCAGAAACTTATCAAAACATTTCATGTAATATCCGACCCGATCAGAAAAACCAAGTACTAACACTATAAATAAAATTTAACATTATTAATCGACTTCATTATTATTCTCTTAATCATTACCTTTTTACGCGGAGTAAAATGAAAAACAAATAATGGCCATAGACTTCTGAAAACACAGTTTAATGATAATATAGTCTATAGTATAATGCTACGACGCGGATTCAACTATCTAATGTCAACCTCTATATGCAACGCTGTCCATCTTCACTATATTTTATTCAAATAATATTTGTTATTATAAGGGTATAAATTTTTCTCTCGTTTTCTATATTAAGCTTCCATTTGTCTTTTTCCATCTTCTCAAAATCCAAAATTAGTTTCAACTTCACTCGTAAAATCTTTCGATTTTCTTGATATATTAGTATATAGCTAGTAACAATAACAATGGGCAACTACGTTTCATGCGCTCTAAACAAAACGTCATCGTCACCGTTGGCCAAAGTGATTCTCCCGGACGGTGGAGTGCGTGACATCCACGTGCCGATGAAAGCAGCCGAGCTCATGATGGAGATGCCAAGATATTTCCTCGTCGACGGCAAATCGTTGAAAATCGGCCGTAAATTCATCCCACTCGCCGCCGACGACGATCTCGACCTTGGAGGCTTCCATGTGTACGTTGCTTTTCCGATGACACGTGCCACTTCTGCAGCCAACGCCTCCGACTTGGCTCGGCTCTACCTCGCCGGAAAGAAACGTACGAAAAGCTGCGATAACAGGAGAGTGTCTCCGGAAGATGAAGATAACGATGATGTAAGGCTGATCGGACCGAAGCTGAACCTTGAAGACATAGAAGAGTTCTCGGCGGCGGAGTTTATTCATCGGATCTCTGTTTCCAAATCTAAGAAACCACAGTTGGAGACGATAGTTGAAGAACATGTGCCCTAATCCAACAAAACCATCCAATTATATATATATTTTTAATGTTATTTTTTTTCTTCCTCTTAATCAAAGTGCCTCTCTTTTGTGGTATTAATGTACGTAAGGAGACATTAGTCGAGAATTAGGAGGCGATTCGTTATTTTTTTCATCCGTTATATATGTAAGTGTATATATATTTTTCTGTTAATCAATAATGTGTGTGAATTATCCGTAAAGATTGGTGTGTTAAATTTCATTCATATGAACAATAAGAAATTATTTTCTTTTATAACGTGTCCACCTCTTCTTTATTTTTCTTTACAAGTTAGTACAAACTAGCCGTTAAAGAGAAAACTGGATTTTAATTAAATAGAATCAAATGTTAATCATAGGAAAATGAAAGTGATTTAAGACTTTCATCGAATAATTTGGCATCGAAACCAGTCTTTGACTTTATATTTCGAGAAACCCCAAATTTGACCTTTTGCTTCGTACATCGTAACGGTAAAAAAAATGCTCTGTTTCGATGTCTCTCTATAAATAGTACGATTCGTTTTCTCTTTAACCTTAACCTAGTCCTTCCTCAGTCCTCACCAATGGCCGAATCATTTCGATACCAAGCAAATTTTGATTCACTCCACGAATTGAGTGATGGTGATTTCGATCTTTCTTACGAGGCTATCTCTAGTCTGTTGATTACATCAAAGAACTCTCTCTCATCTACCACTACCAGAACAGGGGGTTACAGTAGAATACCTACCAGAGTCTCAGAAATTGCAGATACCAGCTGCAATGGGAATGTCATGGACACCAACCAACACGAAGCTTGCGAAACTAATCCTACTCTCTACTCTAGGTTTTGGAAGGTCGCATCAATGTCCTACACTGAAATCGAGGCTCTTGTCAAGACGAAGACGCCGACCACTGTCAGGGAAGCAATCGACGGTCTTGAAATGATGACGCCTGTTTCCGAGAGACCTACATGGTGGGATACTACGACTGAAGCTGATGCTGATCCAACTTTTGGTAACTTAAGCAAGGTTCTTCAATTTAATTGTGATATTCGTGATTCTGGTTATCTTCTTACTGAGAACGCTACTGTTACTGACACTGCATGGTCGAATAATGTCGAAAACGTTCCTTCAGCCCGTTTAGAGAACAAGCTTAAACCCTACACTCTGCAAATGGTTGCTGCTCTTAACCTTGCCCCTGTTGGGAATTATCCTCTTGGAGGTAGGATTCGTGCTTATGGGTTAGGGGTTGGGATTTATCCTTCTTGCGGTAGCGCGTTTCAGGTTGAAGCAGTTTATACAACTAAGATGCCTTCTACGGATGACGAAACCGCGGTTGTAGCTTTTGAACGGAGCTATGGAGAGATTCTTATGAACCTGTGCCTCAATATCTTGGCGATTTTCGGGTTATTTCACTTGAGGAAGGATAAGACTTACGTTAGAGGTAACAAAAACTTGAATGGAATTGCAAATTCTTACTTGGAGACATTGATGATTGCGGATAAAGAGAACTTGATGATGACAAAACATAAGAAGTGTCTTGTCCATATTGCTCCTCGTCCTTTTGGTATTGCTCAAACGTATTGGCTTGCAAAGGTTATGTATAAGCATCAGCTTCTGATGCCTTTACTAGCTTCGTTTTATTACACAACTCCTCCTCGGGTTCAGAGAATAATGGTGATACTTGGTGCTGCTAGAGAGTGGGAGAATCTGACTGCGGGTCAAGATGTGTTGGAAATGTTTAGTGATAAGCTTGCTCGTTTGAAGACTCAGGAGATTGCGATTAAGGAAGCTCCTCCGAGGTATTCCGATTTATATCGGTTTTATGGATGTGATAAGAAGATGGAGATATCAGATAAGATATGGAGTGATGTGAAAGCTTTAATGCCTGCAACTTACGGCTTTGCGATGGTTGCACATGTGAGTGAGGACGGGAAGAAGAAGGATGGTATCGCTCTGGCTCGATGTGTCATGAATGTGGAACGGGACATGAAGAAAGGCGGGATTTTCTGGAAGAAGTTGTGGAGAAGTAAGATGCAAGCCTCCTCAAAGGAGAGATGGTTTATTTAACGAGGTTATAAGAATTGAGACGCAAATTATCGTGTGTTGCATTAATAAGATCTTCAAATTTAATAAAAGATTTGTTACAACTTATTCTGTCTTTGAATTTCGGACTAATATAGTCTCATGGTACGCACGTCCTAGGAACTCTTTTGTGATTAGTTTTTCTTTAATTATCTTGCACGTTTGTATTGTATATACGGACAATAACAATGATCAAAGATCAACGAATGGTTGTTAGAATCAAGATTCATAGGAGACATGGCAAGATCGCTCAAGAAATCAGTTAAGTTGAGCCTAAGACATGTCCGGGTCCGTTTGAAACAAGACTCTAGTTCCATAGAAAGAGATCAGAGAATTGAGTTTCTTGGACGAGACAAGGGGGTTGGAGAAGAGGAAAACGATGGTGACAGTAGCAGCAGCGAGTATGAAGAGTTTGAAGAAGAGGAAGAAGGAGGAGGAGAAGGGGAAGGAGAGGAACAAGATGATGGCAAGAGCGTTGTGAGCGGTGGAAAAAGTGGATGCGGGGAGACAGAAGCCGCGGTGGAAGCAGCAGAGGCGGAGATTACAGAGGCCGGGAATAGGGTGATGGTGGTGGTGGATAAAGTGATTGCATCAACTGGAGCTCTTGAATGGGCTTTGAAGCATACATTACAGTCACAAGACTATCTTTTTCTCTTATATTTCTCCAAACCCTTTAGAAAAGGTTATTTCTCTATCTTTAGATCAGAAGTGTTCATTTGGCAATTTTGGTTTGACTTTTTGAGGATTTCAATTTGCTATAGGCAAAAGGAAGAACCGGAAAAGTGAAGTAAAGACCGATGAACTCGTCCATACTCTAAAGAAACTCTGCCAAACAAAGCGACCCGGGGTGAGTCCATATTCTAACAAAAGCGTTTTCCGCGTTTCAAATCGCTAAAATGTGATGGATTTTACTATGTCTATATAATAACAGATAGAGGTTGAGATAAGAAGGCTAGAAGGAAAAGAGAAAGATAAAGGAGAGAAGATAGTGGAAGAAGCTAAAGAACAACAAGTGAGTCTATTAGTGGTTGGAGAAGAGAAGAAACCGCCGGTTTGGAGATTGTTGAAGAGATGGGGATGGAAGAAACGGCGAGGCCGAGCCGGAGTTCTCAAGTATTGCCTAGAGAAGGCTTCATGTATGACCATTGCAGTTAAACCAAAGAACCGTAAGCTTGGTGGTTACCTGATCACAACCAAACGTCACAAGAACTTTTGGTTGTTAGCTTGAATTGATTTGATTAAAGCCATTTTAGGTGTGTTTTTTTTGTCTTTTCATATTGTTTTGACTCTGTTCGTAGAGATTGATTTTAGTATAGTTTCGTTCTTGTTTGATTAAGACATGCCGTTGAAAACAAATTCAAAGTATAATATGAAATTGGTTATTAAATAAGTCACAATGGAAAGAACAAAATAACACAGAAAAATCAAATTCTAATCAAGAATAAGATAAATTTAAATTCTCTGAGAGAACTAATATCGTGAATGCAATAAAGTTAACCGAAACAATAATTATTGTCCAATAGAGTCTCTATCCACAAGAAAAATAAATTTAGGAGGCAAGGCTCTTCTTAAGTAAGTTCAAGACTTCTTTGTAAGCCAATTTCTTGGCCATTTTCTTATCAGAGGCCTTTGCTGTGTGAGCAAAACTCATTTCCTTAGCTTTCACCTCAACCGTGAAATAATTAAAATCTTTAGCTTTACTCAACTCGAACTGAGATTTCTGGCATAATTCTGTCAACTCTCTCACAGGATGCAACTTGACAGTCTCCGGAGTTATCATACAACCCAAGAGTGGTTTAATACTCGCAAACACTACTTCCTTGTTGTAACCTGAGTCAACAAATATCGCGCCTGCTAAAGATTCTATCACATCACCAAGAACCTGACAGTGAGACCAAAAAAGGTAGACGTTAAAGGACTTGTGTTCAGAGTAGAGTAGAGTTAGTATATGTTGTTAGATTAAACTCTGTTACCTTAGGAAAAGATATATCGCATTCCCATCCGAAAGTGGATTGCAAAGAAGACTGTTCAAACTCACTGACTGTTCTAGAGATGTGCTTGTGGAGAACATGAGAGGCGTGCAGGATGTGTTTGTGCAGATTTTCTTTAACCGCCACTAGAGCATAACATTCATTGTTAACAGAAGCTGATCGCATGTCAGTTAATAGTCCAGGAGACAGACAAGGATATTTGTCGTATAGATGCTTGGTTATGAGATAATCCAATACCGAGTCACCGAGGAACTCCAACCGCTGCAGTAGTATCAAACTATTTTTATTCGAAACACCAAAAGAATAACAAGTATATGATTAAATTTATGGAGAAGTGACCGGACCTGATAGCATCTTGGAATTTCAGGCATCATGTATGAACCATGAGTCAATGCTTCAACAAGAAGAGACTTATCCTCAAAACTGTAATTCAACAGCGACTCCATATAACCTACATTCACAAGCTTCTCTGCTTGTATTGGGGACTCTCTCTCGATCTTCGTAGTAGTGAAATCGACCTTTATACCAACCCAATTCATGAACATCAAAGCTGAAAGTTCACCTCCCTCGCTGAGATATGCTCCAATTAATGATTCTACAACATCAGCCACACTCTTGCGTTTCAAATTCCTCCTACTAGCAACGTATATGTTTCTAGACTCGGGTAGGGTATCATTTACAAGTGCATAAGCTGCAGAATGTTGACCAGGTACCATCCAACCTTTAGGTTCAAAACACTCATTGCGGATAAATCCCTGTAATTAAAGAAATCATTTTACTCCACCTGCGGCAAATTAAACATTTCTATACAATCCAAAGGTTTGGGAGTCGTTAAGACTGAAGAATGTTTACCTGAAGTTTCTGCTGACATCCAAATTGGCAGAGCATGACATTTGAAATCATTCCATCTTTCTTCGTGCTAAGAAGACCCTCATGATGAGTATGACAGTGTTGGAATAGTTGCTGACAAACAGCATATTTAAGAAAAGAGTCACCAAGAGTTTCTAGTGATTCCAAGTGAAACTGATCTTGGCACTTCTTTGTCGTTATAGCTTCCAGAACCTGTAGTCACAAGTGAACCAGAAGAATTTGGTGAAAAACCAAATTGAAAATATATACAATATGTATATGAGCTTGAAAGTCCTAACTCTTAAGTTCTACCTTGATGGTTGGAATATTGACTTTTGGGATGCTCTTCTTCAGGTTGTATGCTATAAGCAAAGATTCAATGCGTTGCATAACAGATGGGATGAAAGTATACGAATAGATCACATCAACTGATATTGGGGACAAAATGACATGACACAGTTCAGGAGGTAGTTCAACAAACTCTTTGTCATGCTCTGCAGTAAAAAGAATATATTAAGGAAACATGAATTCAACAAGAAATCATGATGCAATCAATCACAGATTGTGGTTATAAGATTGAACCTTTCTCCTTTTTCTTCTTGGTCATGTGAAGATAATTATGCAACGTGAAAATGTGTCTTCCATTCAGAAGAGGTTCATCCACAAAATTTAATTGAATCCCATGCCTGGAACAAAATTATACAATCCAGCGTTTGAAAATAGAATAAAATAACCGAAAATATATTAATAGTGAGAAGTATATGTACCGTTCCTCGTAGTACTCTATGTAAGTCTGATCGCCAGAATTTCTCTTCGTCAAGAATGAATTTGCATTTATATTGTTGAGAACGCCTTTCGTGCAGTAGAAGTATCCATTATGTGGTGTGTAAACCAATGCATTTTGTACGACACAAGTACAAAACAAGCCGTCTTTTGTGTGTAGAATACGAGAAGCGCCGTTGATAGAACAATTTACGTGTTTTTCCAAAGCTTCATGACAAGTTAGATTCACGGATCTGATCACTTCCCAATCAATAGGAGATGTTTCATGTGAATGAGTGGATGGAACTAGTAGATAATCAAGTGCTATCCCGTCTCTGAGAAGCAATCCATTCAATGCCTCCATCAAATTTTTCACACTGTGATCTAAAAGAACTCGGAATAGAGTTATCTGAAATCTTCTACACAAAAGTACCTGAACAAAAGAAAATACAGAGACTTATCGAATTCTTCAAATAAGAAATGATTCGTAAGAATTTAATTGAGATAAATACCTCCTCTTGTGTAAGGTGAAAAGCTCCCACATAACTCAATGTCACAGCTATTGTACCCTTATGATCTTCCAACCGGAAGCCTGTGTTCCCAATGTCATCTTCAAGCACAACTCTGGTGCCTAGTAAAACATCATTTAAATGAAAATTTCTTTGAGAGCTTGGCTTCATTCTTATTAGGTAGAAGTGGTATGTTGTCTCCGGCTGTACTGAAAACTGGGAGACTAGCTCTGGGGGGAAGTAACATGGCTGCTCTGGGTTATATTGGATTTTCTCTGCAAACTCAAACCTCATAGATGAGTGATTTATTATACAGCCAAATTTACATATGAAAATGCAGAAGATTACCGAGTTTTTGTGCGACAGTTTCCGCCACAACCATGTCAGGCACAAGATGATCACTTAGAGCTCCAACTTTGTGCAGTTGAATGCAAGCTTCAAGACAGACAGTTTGTTTTAACACTTTATTATTTGCTTGAGCTTTAACTTCTTTTACTGGGCAGCTCTTAGGAAGGTAAAGGGTACAACTCCCCTGATCCTTGTTTACATCAAATCTAGGAGCAGGTTTGAAGTACCTTTTCCAGAAGAAAAAAAAAGAAACACAAATCAGAAAGAAGTAAAGAAGCAAAAATTTGAATAAAGGAAAAGATGAAGCTGGTATTAGACTAACTCATCTGAAGGAAGCCTTGAGCAGTAATGATATATTAAGCTGACGCTTGAGCTAAGAGTTACAGTTGCACCAGTACTTTCGACACGGAAGAATAGTTCGTCTGAATCATCTGGAAGAGGTGGACAGGGAACAAGAGAATGATGCAAAGACTCTTCACGCATTCTTTTCCCACCAGAAAGATATTTTTTTAACCGAGATTGTGTTAACAGATCTCCGCTGCCAGTGGCAATGAGTGAGAAAGAAATTACATTTTGTTAAGCATGGAGCTGTAAACTCTATGAAGACCAGCCAAATATGCAACTGACCTTTCCACCATCATCAAATAATCTGAATTTTGCATTCTAGCACGCCCACGAGACTGTATGAAACTGCAAATGTTGGATGCAGGATCAAATCTGATAACCAGATTGCAACTTTGAACATCTAGTCCCTCCTCTAGAATAGATGTTGCTACAATGATGTTTACCTACGAATAAGAACAGGTTACTCAGATATAAAGATAACAGTGAGCAGATAACACAGCATTTTCACAGGAATTTGACCATACCAAGCCTCTCCGGAAGTCTTCCACAATTTCATTTTGCTTCTTCCGAGTTTGATTTTGCAGACCAGAGTTATTCCCAGCAACGTACTTGGTTTTCCAGTTATTACAGTTTGGAAGAATCTCAGCCAACAGAGATTCCAGAACAATGGCTGTTATCACCCTATCCACAAAAATGATGCACCGTATGTTCTCCAGTGAGCTGCATCAATAAAAATTCAGAGAAACAGAATTAGAAAACAACGTAGGTATAAAAAAATATTGTACTCCAATATGTGTTGATTTAAGCAATGTCAAACATTCAAGGTTTTTCATTTCAGATCGTCATATCGAACTCCAGTATAACAAGAAGAAACAAAAGTGCGCATGCCGATCCAAACCTATAACTAAGAAGAGTCTCAATCAGGCAGACTGTTTTTGATGTTAGGAGACCTGCCTCCACCTTTCCATTTATGTTAGCAACACTCCAATTAAGACCTATTTACACATGAAAAGAACCAAAGGTGAGGAAACTAAAGAAATGAATGAATCTTCAATAGTAAAATGTTAGCAAACAGAAAACTACCATTAGGTATGTCAGCCAAAAACGCCTGTGAAGCATCAGAACAGAACTTTTTTACCAAGGTCACGCTAGACATATTTAGTTCCCCCCACAAGACAAAGTCATTCTGACTGGCTGACAATGACTGAGCAGCCTGTTGTAGAAAAACAAATATTACAACACTTCTTACTTTCCTATGTAATTTAAAATCCTAAAGCAGCACCAAGAACAAAAAAAAAACACCTTCTGCGCCAGCAAAATTCCGAGATCATCCAAACAATATGTTAGAGTTGAACTTATCCTCGACAGTCTCTTCTCTATAGAATCAACAGTAGAGGATTTGAGATCCAAGGTTGCAAGGGATAAGCGATGCTGAAAAATAAGTCTACCATCAGTTAACATTTTGATAATATGATGCAAGAATGATCATATATATGAGCTACATTTCAAAACCCAAAAAACAATCACCACTC